GATTTGTGTGGACTGGCATTGTCTTGTTGAATCAACACGGCAGACTTGAGAGCTGCAGACGGAAACTTTGACTTTATAGCAGGAATTACGTGCTCAATAACCATCGTCGAATATACTTTTGCGTCGACGGATTGTGGGGAAACAACAATTGTTCCTTTCGGACGGTTTTTGCTGTTCCGTTTGGCTGGAACAGATTCCACAAAAGACCAAACTCCAATTTTCCCGTCGAACATTTGCTTCCGGTGAAAGTCATAACGCGGGCAGGCCACGGCCGCCAAAAACATCACTTTAGTAATGAAGTGTTTAGATTTGCAGAACCGGGCTGCCAGTTCCTCGTCCTCGTACACAAAGTATTTTCGTTTTACCTTCGTCAAATAGAACCATTTTTCGTCGATATGAACATAATCGTACATATTTTCAAAAAAATAGCTTCTATTCGACGAAGGTAAAAGAAAAGACAATGCATAACGTAGTCGGGCTTGAATGTTGTCGGGTGTCAGGAACGGCTTAATGTAACTTGATCGTGCCTTCAAACGTCCAGTCTCTTGCATATGGTGTCCAATCGTGCGACGAGGGATACCAGACTTGAACGCCAGTGCCCGCATCGTTTGCCGCGATTCTTGGGGGACTTGGCGAATTGCGGCTTCAATCTCGTCCGCAGAACGCGTTCTTTTGCGACCAGAGTTTCTTAAATCAATACAACCTTAAAACTTGATACTTTTCAAAGATAATAGAATATAGAATCATGGAGGCTTTACCTGCAATTTTCGACGCGATATCGGCAACACCCCTGCCATTGCGTGAGGATGCACGGCCACGGCTCCAGATACGGGAGATGGTCCGCGAATCACACTGAAACTGTTGTGCTACATATAGCATGGCGCCACGGGGTAGCTGGCCTTGAACGCATATCTCCAGGATCAGCTCGTAGATGCGATGACGTTGCGCGAGGGTCAGGTGCTTCTTCCCACGGACACGAGCAGGTGCGACTGCAGAAGCGACTTTGGGGGACATGTTGGTTTGCTGGGGTATTGCTTGGACGATAGTAAACGATGGACAGTGATTGATTGATATCAAATTGAAAACTATTGACGTAGCGGGTCAGCTCGACTGCGGACTCAGTGACGTGCCAAGTTTGGCGCTCAATAACTCTGGAACCAAAAGGGTCCAGAACGATCGCAAATAACCCAATCAAAGCAGAGTTCTTGCGCTTTTGAATGCACCTATCAGCACCAATTAAATCGTACTTTTAGAAAAATTCCGCCAATGAGAACATGGAGGCGACAACTATTATGCGCCAGAGTAGTACACAATTAGTAAGAAGTACTGCGATTTATAGATCTTTGATGCCGTGCTACAACCTAATTGAACCTTCTTCTTGAAGTCACCAATTGGACAATACAGTACAATTGGACAATAGGACCATTCCACGCTGACGCACACACGACTCATGCTGGCGTTGACCGCTAGTTGTTCTTCGGTCAGTCAAGAGTCGTACGCCAGTAAATGGTGAGGCGAGTTGATTGGAGCGACAGTAGGGAGGATCGCCATAATCACATACCCACGGAAACGAGCGTCGGAAGCAATAAAGTTCTCCAAAGATGACTTGCGTGCAATGTTAGGTCCCCTCCCGACGGACGGCAACACTCCTGAACCGTCCCATTGATAACCCCCATACGTTTGTAATCTCGGCTCCACGACGCGTTACAGCGCTGGAGAACTCTTGCACGCGGCTTGCAATACGCTCGATGTCGAAGAACAACTTGATTTGGTAGCGACAGCAGATGACCTTCACAACGTACAGAAAAATGTTCGACATGCCACTACGGGAGTCCCTTAGTGGCCCGTAAAGGGACCTCCCAAACATGTCCGTAAGGTCAGACCACCGAACAGGAACCGAAAATCGCCGGAGCATGATGCACAGTGCCTCCAGCTTCCCGCACATGGTGTGACGTTCTGAGAGACGAGTAAGCTGCATTCCATGACGAGGACTCTTTCAAGTGTACCATAAGTTGGCCATCTATTTTATGGTGAAAAATTGACGAACTCGCTGTGTTTTGCGTTCGTCATGGTGGCAGATGAAAAATAACAGGGCAGTAGGGGCCGTTACCAGCACCACTACTGGGAAAGACGGAATGCAACGCCCACCGAAGCTTTTTGTGCGTTATAGTTAATATTTTCCAATAAAATTCAAGTTTCAAAATGCTACACGTTCATTGGTGGAATTTTAATACTTCGCACCTGCGTGGTCTTTAAAACATCGAAAAATGATGCGTGCATCGTATTCCATCTCGACGAAGCTCAATGCAATTGGCCTCCTTGAGACCATGTCTGCCCGACAGGTTTCCAAGACACTTGGTGTCCCATGGCGAACGATATGATCCTGGTATGACCAGCGTTTTGAGCTGCTGGCCTACGATGGCAACAAAACGCGCATGAAACTTGAGCCAGATGGACGCTCTGAGGTATTTCCCGATCCTCCAGGTCTGGTAGAGTTCATTAACCATGATGTGAGGGATAACGAACGTGCTTTAACGATGACTCACATGATCACTTGGATCAAGCTCAACCAGCGAGAGTTGATCCAGTCCTACCTGTCGACCAAAAAGCCAAAATTCCGCCTACAGCTCGTTGCTCAAACTGCTGCAGCGCTTCTGCGAACGCCACGTTTTCACGCCAGAGCCCGACGAAGAACAAGCTCAAACAATCCGTCCTAGCAGAAGTGCACGAGGAGTTAGCTGAAGACTTACATCCCGAGTACGTGTCGTTTGCAATACACTGCGTTTACAATGTGGATAAACCGGAATGTATTAGAACTTGCCTCCACGATACTTCTGGGCAGTACTCGGCGGTAGCTCCAAGATTTCGTCCGGCGAAAAGCACTCTATGGGAACGACGGCAGTGCTTACGACGCGGGCGGACGGAAACAAGCTGCCACTGTTGTTGATCATGCGTGGAACGATATGCGCTTAATTTGATACGTCTGAGTTCCCTAACTATCCATCGGAGCACTATTACGCCGTTCAAGACTAGGCTTGAATGGAGGGAGGTGTGTGGGCACAGTACCTTCATCAAGTTTTGGGCGAAGCCATCGAAGAGCTGTCAGTGGTCATCATGGACAATTTCGAAGCGCAAGCGTCCGATCATGCATGAAAAACTTGTGCTCACCCGTGTGCCCTGCCTCCCAATGCCACGTCGGTTTGCCAGCCATTAGACGTTGGGGTTATAGCAGGCCTCCTTAATTTGTGGATTCGCAATAAATAGTGACAGATTTCTACAAACATCCCAACACCCATTTCTGAGAAAAGAAAACAGTTGAATTGTTTTAATCGGGGAATTATACCGTTGAAGAGGACACCGTCCCCGTTTCGAGTTGGGGTTGCATCATTTCTTTTGACATGATTATACTCTACCACAATAGTACCACAGTAATAGTGCAGAGTAGAGTACATCATTTTTGCGACCCTCCATATTTGACATGGGTTGTATAAAGGTATTTGTCTCTACATTTGGCCATTGATCCGGTTAATGGAATCAAACAAACAAAATCAACTTCATTTTGATACATCATCAAACCAGCATTAATCGGAGACGATTTAGATTTAAATAAATTTAATTCAAATTGTAGAATATAATTATGTTCGTGGCGAAGGCAAACAAGGCCACGGGCAACGCGTTGCAATTCGTTATGAGTTGGTCTACGAGCAATGTATAGCCCATGGCCTCTCGATCTACCGGTAAATGTCGTGCAGTTCCTGGAGATAGCATAATTATTGATCAGGAATCGCATTATGTATATGGGGAAGTAACCGACTTTTGAAGTAAGTTCGTGGCAGCGGTGACACGTACAGTTTTATACCATGGAAATGGCATCGCGGAAGATTGGATGCGGCTCCGACAAAAGCCTTACGGGTAAGGTTGTATGTTGGTGCTGTGGTACATCACACTTCGCACGCACGTGAATGCGTCGGATTCCAATTTGTATTATAACGTTATTATCCCTAAAGCAATTCTATTTGTCTGACTTTTGGGGTGATAACAGGGTCATACAAACTCTAATACTACGTAGTATAAATATGAAGTACTGAGAATTTGGCAGTTTCAAAATTAGCCGTAGAAAGACCATGATCATATCCTCAATTTGTACTGATTTATTCCAATTTTGATCAAAAATTGCATGAAATATTGACAAAATGCAGGGACTGTCAGCTACTGACTGTGAAGCTCATTTTGTCATTAACCCGGACGTGTGGGGAGAGTCCAATACTTTAATCAAGTGTATTCTTAAGTATACTTGACTTTGCCAACCTGCTAATCGCAGGTTGGCAGATCAAATAATAAAATGAAAAATGCCAAAAGTCATTGTATTTGCTTCAACAAGTGAAGGATTCTGCGATTCGCAGGGTGGCAGTAGCCAATCAGAAAAAGACGAATATTTCTTTTCCCACAGAGAACTATAAAAATTTGTCAACGTCTGTAATGGAACAGATGGATGATTCAGCCAATGAAAACAGTTATGTATTTCCTTAAGCAGTATGTAGAGTGCAACAGTCTCCCTTCTCGCTGATTGGCTCAATGTTTGAATTTTAAATTTTGTGCAAGGAAGTTTGCCAGCAACCGATCAAGTGGTTCCGATCTGCCGCTTTGCGCCGTTGACGCCAAGGTATGTGATGTGTGCAGTGTGTGTGATGTCTTATATATTCTACAGGTCCTTGTGAGCAGCCGCCGTCCCGACTCCCCCGCCGTCCCGACTCCCCCGCCGCCCGACTCCCCCGCCGCCCGACTCCATGAGCCGCCGTCCGGACCTCTGCCGTCGCCGACTCCGTGTGTATTCGCGACCCATTGTTTGAAGTCGGCCGGAGGCTTTGCCCAAATCTTTGCCGCGATCCCGTTACCGCCGGCGCTGTCCCGACCTCTGCCGTCGCCGACTCCGTGTGCATTCGCGACCCATTGTTTGAAGTCGGCCGGAGGCTTTGCCCAAATCTTTGCCGCGATCCCGTTACCGCCGGCGCCGTCCCGACCTCTGCCGTCGCCGACTCCGTGTGCATTCGCGACCCATTGTTTGAAGTCGGCCGGAGGCTATGCCCAAATCTTTGACGTTGCAGCCGT